GGGCGGCCTCCGGCCCCGCCTCGCTCCCACCGCGGCACTGGCTCAGCCCAGGGGCGCACACTGGGGACACTCAGTGAGGACCCTCATCCGTGTCACCGGCCCAGGGCCGCTCCGGGCCAGGCGGCGCAGACACTTTTTCACCTTTTCTTTTGAAACCAGCGCCCCTGCTCCTGATCGCAAGCCCCAGGCTGGAAGCTGACCCCCGGCCAAGCCCTCACACCCTCCCCGCACATCACGCCCTGGGGTCCACTCCTGCCCTCCCTTCCCCTCCATCAGGGTGCCGGGCAGGCTCCCCGGGACATTTCTCGCCTCCTGCAACAGTTTCCCCACTGGCATCAGGCCAGCCCCCCCCCCAACCTTAGCAGTCAGCGGGCACACAGGCCTCAGAGCTCACCGCAGCCCTCCCTCGGTGCCGCACCTTGTCGCTGGGGTGTGGGGGACCCAAGCCCCTTTCTGGCACAGACTGGAGCACCCACATGCTCTCCTTCACCCCCAAGACACAGGGCAGGAGACTGTGCCTTCTCCAGCCTCTTCCTCTCCACCTCTGCCCACTCAAAGCCTGTCCTCCTGGGTGACCCATCCCACAGGCCACCTCCTCCGAGAGGACGCTGCTGACCCCCTGCCGACTGGGGTCCCCTCCTCGGGCCGACTGCCCAGCTCCCGGCCCTCCGGCATCCCCTCCTGGGCGCAGAGGGGGTCTTCTGCGAAACAGTAATGTTTCTAGTGCTTACAACTGTCCTTAACAACCTTCTCTGGGAACGGATATCTGTGCACGCTCCGATGTCTTATCGGTATGTGTTTCACCTCCTCTGAAAGACGGTGAAGCTCAGGGATGGGCGCTGTGGTTTATTCACTGCCGCATCCCCTTGCCATGTAGCATTTCCACCTGCTGGTCTTCAGCTCACGTGCGGGCTGGGCCGGCCCGCCGAGTCATCATCGCTTAGTAATAATTAAGACGCCCGGAAGAGCAGAGCTCGGCTCCACCGGGCCGCATCCCCGCACATGCTATCTTTAAGCTTCCCCAGTGATCTGGTAAAGTCAGTATTATTATCCGTACTTAACAGTAAATGAAGGCCCAGAGAATTATAATCACTCTTCTAAGGACATCAGCTACTTCGTAATGGAATCAGTATTCAAAGTCAATTCAGTTTAACTCTAAACCCCATTCCACATCTACGGTGACAGACTGCTTAATATATTCTCAGAAGGAAAGTTCATGTTTCGCTTGCTTGTGATTAAAAAGAGCAAATAACAACAGTTGAAAGACATCATAACGCGATTCAGATATTCCCCACACAGGTGAGCAGCGGAAAACGGGAGTAAGACAGGAGCTCCAGTGAAGAGCTCGGAGCAGGCTATAAAGTGGCATAAAAATGACACCGAAGTGAGAGCAGGTGGCCGAGATGATGCCACCAGACCAGGAGGCTGGCACATTTCACCAGCATGGGAAGCGGTTCAAAAAAGACAAGGACTGAAAGCGACTGATGTGTCCCAAATAAGGAAAACTCATGAGAAACAAGCAATCGCAGGAGTGAGGGGAAAAGGAGGGGAAGTGAATCCGCACCGGCGCCCTCGGGCTTAGCCACCGCGTCCCCAGATCAGAAATCGCGAGACAAGCAGGCCGTCAGATGACACAGGAGACGAGCGAGGGGCTCCCAGATGGCAGGGGACGTGTCCAGCTCCACACTTGGTTTTCTAGGAGTGTGAGTCGATTTTAAAAAGAAAAGCAGAACACCATGGGGGACGCAAGATGCAGTGGCTGGGAGCTACGCAACGCTACGAAGAATGACGGAGAGCGAGTTCCGGGGGTCCCAGCTGACACTGTCTCTGCAGTGTGAAGATGGGACTCTGACTTAAGGGCAAGAGCTGCAAAGACCACTGAAAGCGTCAAAGCATATTAGATAACTGTGCGCCACTACTCAAATCATTTGTAGCCAAAGTTGTTTTTCTCCTACCTACAAATAGAAAAATTGAAGTGTTTGAACTTAATTTCAACTTAGATATTTAAATGAAGCTATATTTATATAAACGCTGCAGAAGTAAATATTTTTAAATAGCAGGTCAAGTAAATAGCAAGCGTCACCATGAAAGGTTGATCAAACATATGCCAGCAGCAGGTTATCTAACCAACGAAAAGTTTGCTTGCATGAGTGACTGGGTGTGTTATTAAATGTCACTACAGCAGGATAACGGTGAGCTTTCTCAGACACAGGCAAGACATGCAACCTGCCCACCTCGACGGGTCCTTGAGTCCAGCCATGGTCCCCAGTAGAGAGGAGAGGGAAAAGCATTTCCACCTTCTTTAACCAACATGGAGAACAAAATGTCTGTCCAGCTGGGAAGAAAAGGGCCACTTGAATCATGGTTGTGCCACCTGCTTAATTTCATGACTTAGGACACGTTTCCTGCTGGCCGTGAGCCTTAGCTGTCAGTGAGGATAAAGTATGCAACCTCAAATGCCTGTTAGCGGTCTGGTGAGCCAATGTAAGCACTGGGGGATGTGGAGACTCTTCCGTGCAGAGACTATTCTCTTAGGAGTGATCGAGCGTGGGGCCCAAAGGAAGTTCCCCAGCGTTTTCATCCAGAGGAGGCAGGGCTGATTAAAGCAGTATCCAAGTTTTGAGTTGCAGTTACGACAGATTTTGATGAGGAAGGTAACTTTTAAATAAATAGGCTGACATTTCCATTTCTACAGCCCTCCCTAGTGGATAGAAACTTTCTCGGAAGAAAGAGACATGGCAAAGAATTTAGCTGGCCTCGGTTTATTGAGATTTAATTGCCTATTAAATGTTTGGGATGCACTGCTTGTGAGGCTGTTAGAGCACCCAGCAATAAAGACCAAATCAATAAGCTCTGTCAGAAGTATGGATTACAGTCTTATCAGTGAACATCATCATCACCAATAACTGTGAAAGATAGTGCCACACTCAATGTTCACGTTATTTCTAACCAGGGTTCAGATGACCTCGAGGACAAGGGAGGAGCAGCTGGGAGGAGGGGGGGGAAGGAGTCATGGGTGCTATTACTTCTTTCAAGCCATTTCATTTACCTGGGCTGACCTGGGAGACATCGTGGCATTAGAACGATACCAGTTTCACCCCACTCATCAATGACCATGATCTTTATTAGGCTCCGACTGTGTCCAGAGCAACCACTCTGCTCTTGCCGCACTGTCCAACCCCATGAGAATCAGTGGTGTAACTTGCCCAACCCCGCCCCCAGCTTCAGGAGTGGCCCTCATATATCAGCACACTTCCTCTAAAATGAAGTTTATTTTTAAAGAAGATCTGGACTGATCTCAGAACTGCTGTCCAAAGAACATATTTTTCAGTTCATATCCAGACAAATAATTGCCTTATAAAACAAAAGAAACAACTGTCATCAGAGAAAAATGACAGGATCCAGACTTTCCAAAAATTACATTCATAATGTCTGGAACACAAGTACAAAATTACCCAACACTTGAAAGAACAAGGAAAATAGAGCACATTTTCAAGAGAAAAGAAAATCAATGACACAAACACTGAGATAACTTTAACTTTGGAACTATAGGCAAAATTTTAAAGTGGCTATCATTACTATCCTCAATGAAGAAAAATAATCTCCTGAGGTACATGGAAAGAAGACAAGCAGAGCAACAGACATTGTGAGGAAGAATCACATAGAAAATCTAGAACTAAAACTTCAATGTCTGAAATAAAAATTTGTATAGATTTAATAACAGACTGGAAGTTAAGAGGAAACATTAGTAAAAAAGAGAATTTTAGAAAAAGGGAACAGATTTCAGTGGGTTGGTAGAAAATATCAAGTTGTTTAACATATGTGTAATTGGAGCTACCGGAAGGGGAGTGGGGAAGAATATAATGCTCTGATCTTTAAAGTAGGTGATGAAATAGATAGATGTGTACATTCAAGATGTTCAACAAACACCAAAAAGGATGAGCATGAGTTGCACATATACAGGTACAGCAGTCAAAAGCGGAGAAACAAAGATAAGGAACAAGTTCTGAAAGCAACAAAAAAAGAAACAGCCTCACATCACTGTTCAATAATGTAATTCACATTACACAATATCAGACACAATGGAGACTGAGAGAGTATTTAAAGGTTTCAATATATAATAGGAAAAAATAAACCTTGCTCAACCCAGAATTCTATATCCAGTGACAATATCCTCTGGAAATGAAGAAAAAGTAAAGACATTTTAAGGTGAGGGGGAAAATAGTGAGACTTGCCTTACAAAAAATTATTAAGGAAGCTCTTAGGACTGTAGGACAATGATATCAAATGAAAATTCAGATCTTCAGAAAGGGATAAGAGCACCAGAAAGGCTAAACACCTGAGTATTTACATAAAAGACAATTATGTGAGGATTATTATTATTATTATTATTATTTTTGAATCATCTTAAATGATTCAACACACATGTAACTGTTGACTGTGGAT